TACATAAATTATTTTCTAGAATTCCACTCTCGACTAAATTCAAGAAAGCGATACCACTGTGCATTATAGTACCGTACTACTACCGAATAGAAAGACATTGCAACATGCGATTCCCTTTAGAATTGATGCACACAACGAATCAGTGCGGTCAAGCAATCGAGAAGCATTTATTCAACATCTATTCGATTTACATAGCAATTTCGTATAACTTCTGTCGAGTAACATAAAAAGAAGGAGAGACTAAAACAAACAAAACTCGAAAGTCAGAGCTCTTAATTGCAAATAGAAAATTTAATTAAATAATTGAAATGACTCTTATATTTATTTTGAACAGTTAATAAATATAAAATTCAATTTGCACGTTTAGGTCTACATTTACATGCCAATGTATCGTCTATTATCAATTTTTATTTTTCAGAAGAAAGTTTTTATTGTATTCAATTGATTTTATGTTTTGCATTTTGCTTTTTTTTTTATAAGTAAATCATATACCATAATAATCATTCCATAATTAATATATGGCGACTCGCCATCAGAGGTCTAACGAGACTCGCTCGGATTCACGCGAGCATCGCAACCACATGAATTCTCTTTAAATAGAACATCAATCTAAATTACACTACATCACCTTACTGATGAGTCTAGTAGTGTAGAACCGAGACGGAACACCGCGGCCGAGCAAAAGCTTCGAGTCAGGCCTTCTTAGTGGACATGAATATCATTTCCATATAGACATCCATAAATATTACAGAATTAAAATCGCTTAAAGAAAAAATTATATAATTTCGATATCTTATTTTGAAATTTTTGGTTCTAATTAATCATCAAACTGCATCATCGTATAAATATTTCCTTCGCCGACGTACAATCCCTATCTGCTTTAAGCAACGGAACGAAAGATATTACCATCGTATCATCATAGAGAGAGTCTTGGTTCACTTATAATTAATGTAGTAATGAGTCCTCGTCAAACTAATTATACAGGCACAGGTATAAACTTGAGTGTGGCGCAAGACGAGGAACACTGTTAAAAGTTCGTCTTATGTGAACGTAATATGCGCGGAAAGTCGCGAAAACAGGAAGAAGTTCGTAATGTCTTCGATACAATTCAGAATACGAAAGTCCTACTTATAAAAACCACAACTATTTGTATCGCACCAGTAACTTTGAGTACCGACACCTGCATTGTTTTCTGGTTTTTTCATGTGTTATTTACATATAATAATATAGATCTAATTAATTAGAATGTTATCCCTAGAATGTTATCATATATAAATTTTTTATTCTATTTAACTTCCATAAAGTTATGGAATATAAAGCAATTCTTAAAAGTTTCCCTTTCCATTTAATATACGAATTTTATAGGTTCGAATTGTCTTTGATGGTGTATAGGACTTTAAGATTTTTTAAAACGAAAGTAGAATAGTGATAATTCGAAATAAATGTATTCAGAACATGCTTAAAATATGCGCGCTGAGATATTTTACATAAATTGATTATTTCGTCAAGCAACGGGTGAGTGCTTACGGGCATGGGCTATCCTTAAGTAGTTTAAGTCAATCATTCTTCGTACTCATCCGACATTGGACGACTGAGAATAAACAGCTGGAACAGCAAACTCATGGATCCTGCATTACAGAGAGTAGTTCAAGCAACCGTCTTATTAACATTATTGATCGTAAGCAAGAAACAAGTCTTTTGTTACTATTAATGAAGTTGCTGTTCCATAATTTTCTCGAGCATTGGAATAAACTAAACAATCTTCCACTCTCATTACGAAACGGTTTTACTGATTTAATATATTTAATGATGTGCGCACATATACAATAGCTATCAAAAGATTCCAGTCAACATATAATTTTACAATTATTTTTGTAAATCTGTTTTTTTTTCAATTTACATTATACATTAATAAAAATCTTGTTATAATCAACTTAGGAACGTGATATTTTAAATATTAGAATATATTAAAAAATACTTGCATACTAGAGCTTTATTTGTAGATTCTTTATCTGAGCAATATAATAAAATTACTCATTAACTAAAAACTTTTTAAAGCTTCTATATATTGGATAGCCATTATATATATTGTATATATATTTATGTATTGTATATATTAGGTGTTGGAATTAATTCGTAGCGTTTTACAAGTGATGGGAAGTACTTTCATTAATGTATTTTTTAATGCTCATGTGAAATATATTATACAGTTATATATATTTATTAATAATTTAATAATTTAAATAAGAGAGAGAAAATACAAGATATGTTTAAACTCGTCGTACAAGTACACATAATAATATTGTATGTGTACAATTTATAATAATTTATATATAATTTATTATGACAGTAATATTAAATACACATAACAATTGTAATAATATATGAAATAATATTTAATGTCAGAATAAATACTTTGCTAACACGGAAAATTACTACAACGGAAATGCTGAAAATGTCATTCATAATATAAATTTCTCCAAGGTACGTTAGATCGTTCTCGCAAATATTTGGAATGTTTAATGCAGAAAAACACTTAGACTCGTCTATCGATAATATTATCATGCTTAAGAATTTAATATTTTTCATTCACGTGATATGTGATTTGGCATGATTTTACACGCGTGATTTCTTAATAATAACGATAGCGATATAGACAAGCTATAGATAAAATCAACGATAATTTATTTCACATACATCTCCAGTAAGTTGAAAAAGAATTTCAGAGAGATTCTTAAATCAGTTCTTAAATCGAATTCAAAAACCCGTTTACAAGAATACAGATAAACATATACAACTTTCATTCCACCATGAAACAACTTGTGTTCCATTCAACCCCCATCGCATTCTCACTTAGAAAGATTGAATTCCAAGTACTCGCAAACCAACGAGCGAAATGTTCTGGTACACTGTTTGTAAATGCTTCCTATGCGACTCGAGCTTTGCTCGAGAGATTGGGAAGTTCACCAACGATTTATTGATCGCGATACATCGCAAATGCAACGGTGCAAATGAAACGCTGGTTTCTTTTTTTTTCCTATTTTTTATGGCATGATATCGACAAACATACATTTCCCTCATAAACGCAAGTTTGTAACTCAAATAAACGAACACGCGATAAATGTTTTCGTCATTAATGGATTTTACGTAAAATATTAAATTATTTGATTTCGAAAAAGCAAAAATTTCTACACGGGAAAACATATTAATAATCCTAGCAATTAAAAAGAAGAAAATTTAACCGAACTAATAATATCATTGTATACAAATAAATCTTTTCCTTCTTGCAAAAGCACAATAAAATCGTCACACTGTCAATATCGGTATTTATTGGCAACAAAGCATTACTTGTCTTAAGAGCTTCAGCAATATCAAGTTCGAAACTGTTTCAAAGGCTCATAACTATCAGTTTCTGCTGAATGCTTTCATTGCATCTACGTTAACGATTAGATCCTTTAAGCGCGATGGGTCTATTCCGATCAGAAACAATGTCACGCGAAGAAACAATACATCATAGTGTATTAATCTTCCAAAATTAGAGAACTGTAGAAACTTTAAACAAAAACTTGAAAATTATTTTAATAATTATTATAGTGAAGGTATATATATATATATATATATATACTGAAAATCTTTCTGATAACATTGTTAAATTGTTACAGTTTTTACTAATGATAATGTTTCTAAAAGCCAGAGAAAATCACACAAAATGCTTATAATTATATTCCAATAATCACATATTCTTCTGCAAATTGTAAAAACCATATTCTGTAAATAATTACGACATAGGAATATAAATTGTATATTACAGAATATATTTTATATTTTCGTATGATTTATATTTTTGATTTTCATATCAAAATTGTTTGGTAAACAAACAATTTTACATTGCATAAACATACGAGATATGTAAGAGGTGCAGAAATTCGTGCATCATAACTATCATTTGTGTCATAGTAATAGAGTAGCATAGCCACAAAATTAGGAGGAAAATATCCTGCCGCCATCCGCGGAATTTCCTTTGGGAGAATTAGGATGAACTAAGTGCTGCACAGTAGCTGCACATGGGAAAAGGGACGGGAAAATCAACAAAGTCTCTACATAAAACAGTGTGGAGTGCTTGGCTTTTAGAAGATAACGTAATATTGCATACATTGAGAAAATATTATGTTTATTATACTATATATTCTTATATGGGACTTATGTGGAGTAAAACATTTTAATAGTAAAACAGTGTTCTTTCGCATTTTTATAGCAATTACTCTTTTGGTGCCACACTACACGAGCAACACACTTATGGCATATTTAACTAAAATAATTAGATTGCTTATAATTTTCTTAAAAATGAACATATTGTCAAAATTTATTGTCAATAAAAATTCCAAATATTCAGGAATATATATATATGTATATTATGTGTGTGTGTGTGTGTGTGTGTGTGTGTGTGTGTGTGTAATATACATATAATATATGTTATACATAATATATGTATATTTATTAATAAAAAAAATTATAAACAACAAAGAATCATTGAAAAAGTGTTGAAAAACAAAAATCGGATTATACTGATATAAAAAACGATTTACTAAAATACTTAAAAATTTAATTAGATGCAAGTCTAAAAATCATTTCGTTAAACTATTAAAATAACTATGTAATACGTTCAAATATGAACATTGCAAAAATTTTTACATTCTGACAACCGTCTTGAGCGTCCTACATAATTATTTGATAACCAACAATTAGTTCTAGATTATCAGATCCGTATCTAGTCCAATTTTTATATACTTCAACAAATTCGTTCTTTCTGTACAAAGTGACACCGAAAGGTCAAAATTGTAAAGAAATGAAGAGATTTATATGAAAAAATATTCATAAAATATATATATTAATGAAAGAATTTCACATCGGTATGTTTATATAAAAGCTGCATAAGTCGCGCAGCTCTGAGACATTGTATGTTGAATATTCTTAAAAATAGAGAAGCGTATATAACTTACCTTAAGAGTATTTTGTAGATTTTGTACTCTGCAGTGCATGTAGACTTGGGCGCCGAGTTGTACAGTAATGTTGCTTTCTGGATCCTCGAAAAATGGTCTCGGTTCAGGTGTGCCACCTGTTTCAGTCACGAAACTCTCCACCTCGTAAACCTACGATAAGAGAGAGCTAAAATGCACATCCGCTCCTTTTATTATTTAACGTGTTTGTAATATAATCAGGAAAACTGTAGTCTCTTAAAACAACATAAAACAGTTGCAAGTGCCGTTAATCCTAAGTACATGTAATATTTTATCCAACCCAGTAAATGGTGAATACAAAACATTCAAACATTGAAATGATGGTAAAAGCAATCTGAATTGCAAATTTTGGTAACACAGATAAACTTATTTACATTAACAAATACTCGTTTCACTGAATTGTTCAAAAGATGTAACAAAGGAAAATGTTAAATTTTTAAAAATGTAACGTTTTATTAACGTAATTTATTTATTTTGGAAATATAATTTCGAAAAATCGCATATTAAGTTTGAATGTGTTGAATATTGCGTTATATCTGTCTCTCTAAATTATTAAAATATTTCAAAAGTGGACTGACATTGCGCTTTCATGAAATATTCTATTTAGATATATTGTTGAAAACAAAACAAAGTTTGAATATTATATATAATGAATCATTTTAATACATTATCTCAATTTCATCAGTCTTTATTTTATTTTATATATATATATATATATATAAAATTGTTTTAAACATAATTTTCACAAGTTTTATTAGGAAAAATAATACACAAAAAATAATGATAACCTTGATATCTCATAAGTAAAATCTATATATAAAAAATTATTTTATGCATTATATTTCTTTCAAGTTTTACATGAAAAGAATCATGTTGAAAAGATTTAAAATTTTTCTAGATATAATTCTAAAAATAATTTTGTTAGAAACTCAAATTGATTATTAGAATATCAAAACTTTTTACAGCATTGCTCATCATTTTTTAATTTCTAACATTTATTTCCAACAAAATTATTTTCAGATTTGTATCCGTTGAAATTAAATCTTTCAATAAAGTCATTTTTTCCGTGTAAAAATATAAAAGTTTTATTTAAAATTTGTTTGGAAATAAAAAACAGCCGAAATATTTGAAGCGATACATTAAATAAATTATCTTGTATTTTAGGTTAACTAAGCAACTACAAAAATCTGATAATATGTTACTTATATACCTCTGTAAAAGGTGAACTAAGCTCGTGCCAAAATGAGCGTGGCAAATTTTCAAAACCTGGAAATTGCTTCGCACCTGTAACAAAATTTTTTAAATTCAATATTTACTGATAAATAGTAAAAATATATTTTATGAATATAACAGTATAAATCATATAAATTCTAAAATTATTACTATTCTTTCACCTGGGATTCTGTAATCAATTAGTAATCAGATGTATTAAATAAGTAAAGTTAAATGTAAACGAGAATAAAGTTAAAAATATGAAAAAGCTATAATATCATTCTAAGTTCTAAAATCTTCAAAATATTAAATTTGTGATAGAAAAAGTTATTCATGACACATGTACGACATCGAAAAAGATTTCACTTTCCGCCTCGATATACAATGCTACAACGACGATGCGAATCCCTGCATTTGCCGACATCTTGAATGGCGTTATCAGCAAGAAGCATACGCGACTATGTAACTTCCTGAGACGATATATGTAAGTATATTCTCCTTAAGATTGCATAACCAATGGCGGATTTCTCAATATGCGACACGTCTTAAATGCAAGAAAAAATTAAACAATAAATTAAAAAAATTTGTCTTTGTAAAAAAATCATACGAGAAATTTTGCCACAATCATTTTATCAAAATAGTTTAGTTGCAATATATGAAAAAATAAACACAACCGTCCGCCGACAACAAATTTAAATTCGCAATATCATATGTACCTCAACGTTAAAACGCAAAAGCGAGGAATTGTTTCGACGCGCGCGAGTACGCAGCCATCGGTATGTTTTTATTACGTTGCATCGAATAAATAATTCTACGAAAATTCGAGGTAAATGCATATAACAAAAGTAAACGTCCCGTTACGAGATGTTTCACAAACAATGCGCGTATTGTGCATCTGCCTAAACGGATACACCTATGTAACGGGAAAAAGTAAAAATTTCTTGCAAAGCAATGAAATACATGTTGTATAAATGACTTGTCAAACAAATAAGAGTCTCGGATGCTAAAGATTACAATTTATAACAAATTAAATTAATTATGTAACAATTACTTAATTATAATGAACAATATGATACGAAGATTAAGTAATAATATAAAATGCATTATATGTATTATTATCTGTATATTTCATATATACTTTTGAGATTTCCACAGATTTTTTTTTAATATATAAATATTGTATATTTCTGTATTATGCTATATATAAATATTGTATATAGTATATCTGTATTATACAGTGCCCGCCAAAAGTTCCGGGTCGACTGAATATCTCGGAAAGTATGCATTTTTTATATAAATGTTTTAGACAAAAACTATTACTTTAAATTATAAGAATTTTAAGCATGATCATATATGTGAATACATCAAATATGATAAAGAAAGCCAAGATCGATCAAATTTTGGATGTTACAAATAATACATTATATTACATATTATATATTATTAATAATATTATTAATAATACATATTCTTTTTATTAAATTTATTAATACAAAGTTGAAAGAAAAGTTGAGAGGTCCCAGATTCGAATCCTGGCTGAAGTAATATTTTTCGCAATAAATTTCTTACTTTCTTTCTTTTTTTCTTTTTAATTTAATTTAAGAGGAATTATTAGCGTTTCAGGATGATTGTGTTGAAACCGGAAGTTATCGGCTCGCAATTATATCTGGAATACATTGATTTAATAAAAAGAATATATAATATATTATTTGTAACATCCAAAATTTGACCAAAAATTGTAGGATTTAAAAAAATCTATATTTAATGATGTTACTAGTTTAACTAAAATTCATTTTCATTTTTTGAGTTATAAGGATTGAAAGTTACAGTACCACTATTATTAGTAGAGGAGAAGGTGATATTATAGTATCCTACCCCTTATATTTTGTACAATTACTTGGTTAGTAATATTTAATTAATATTTAAATTTAATTAATATTGAATATTTAATCAATATTTAAATTAAAAACTCAACAATTGCATTTGTCAAAATATTGTTTAATTAATTCTAGACTTAAAGCTATGAAACATTTATTACTTAGGACGCTATTTATAAAAATGTAGCGACACTACATAATGACTTGAAGAAAAATATAGGTGGTAAAATATGGCCTTCCATAAAAATAGATATAAAAAATTGGTTTTGTTTAAAAAACAATATTTCGTTATAAAATTCACGTAAAAAATAAAATATTACATGTAGAAAGTATGTATTCGAATTATGCAAACATACGTATATACAGATAACTCCTGTCGCATATAAGTTGCTCAGTACTAGAAATCTACATATACGTAATATTATAAACTATAGATTCACAGTAGAGCTGCAATCAATTATCAAATAATTATATTAATATGAAAATCTCAAAAAAGAAGCCATGACTAATCAATACGCATAGAAGGCCATAGCAAAATGCCGTGCTATTGTTTAAATTTGCATAACTCAAAATTTATACAGTCAAATGAAATGTTAAATAGCAAACAACACACTCAAATATACATATATTCGTGTGATAATACGCTTCAAGAAAAATGAGAAAGTAGGTGTAATTTAATGTTAAAATGTACATTAGAAAATGTACGTTTCGAAATACTTGAAAATAAAAATGCGTTATAATAAGTGTTGGCTATTGAATATTAATATATTAGCGTCATGGTGTAACGGCAAGCTACTGAACATAATAAATAATTGCATAAGTATAATCATTAGGATTCGCTATATAATAGCGGAGATATAAAGGGGGACCACAATATCTACACTAGCCACTATTCAAGATATTTTAATCGGACATTTTGGGTAATAGAGGAGGAAGTGGTATTATGCCCAGCAAACGAGAATAGATTAAAATGGATTGAAATTTTTTTCTATCTAAATGCGTATTTTAAATAGCGAATACTTTTTTTGGATTTAATTGGATTCAATTGGATTCAATTAGATTACATTGGATGTAATTGGATTGAAAAACTGCATTTCCTATTCAAAATTTTGAATTGAACAGTATTCACAATGCACAGAAAAAGCTAGTATTATTTTTAGATTGAAAGATATAGAGATATGCTCCATGCAATTCCTATAAATGAATAAAAATGCATTCAGGATTGAAAAGCATTCATTTTAACATTCGTGAATCAATATTTCTGAAAATCTGAATTCATTTCAATTCACTTCAATCCATTCTCATTTGCTGGGCACAATACAACTTTCTCCTCTATTACCCATAACCCAAGATGTCGATTAAAATATGTTGAATGTTGTTCAGAATCATGTTCTGGTTCAAAGTCATTGGAGATTGTTTCTCTTATTTTCATTTTTATGCAAAAATGAACTTTCAGTCCAAAAATAAAAATAAGAGAAACGATCTCCAATGAGACCTTGATCTTAACAAATATTATCCAGGACATGATCCTGAACAACATTTAAGAGACTTTAGTCGTTGGTCGGACATTTTGGATATTACTAATAATAGCGGTACTGTAACTTTCAACTCTTATAACTCAAAAAGTATTCAATAAAAATAAATTTTATTGTAACGTTTTGAAAAGATTTTGATGGCTATTAGATTCTAGAATAAAAAATAGGGTGTCCAGTTTTAAAAAATCGATGTGATCTTGATGTGACATTGGTGACGCCATCCAAGATCAAATTGATAAGATAATTAAACAGATCTTTTTAAATCCTACAATTTTTATCTAAAACATTTTTCTCAAAAATAGATACTTTTCAAGATATTCTGCTGGCCCGGAACTTTTGACGGTCACTGTGTGTGTGTGTGTGTGTGTGTGTGTGTATATATATTATCGAAATCGGAACCGAAAACCGTTTTGAAACCCTTTTTTTTAGTGAACCGTACTCAAATTTTGTATAGTTTATAATAATGAAACCGTAACCGAACTGGACTAAAATTTTATGGTTTTTTTCGGTTTTTTTTCAGTTCTTAATTTTTAATCGTTATCCTTATTCTTAATCTTTGTTCTGCCCGTTCAAATCATCAATGTTCAATCCAGTATTACCATGTCAGCTCTCTTAATAACCAGAATGTAAATACCTCCAACACTTTATATGATATAAAAAATCTGGCGGGATCGCAAGACATATTTAATGTAAATTTTTTTTAAGATATTAGCATTTCTTTTATTTAGATCTTCCTCACCAACATGTTGCAAGAATTATTTTAAGTCATGAAATTCAAGAATACATATGTAAACTTTGTGTAATAAGTGAGATCTATCCATAACAAATCAAATAAATTGTATGAAAGAACTCAGAGAAATATGCCTAAAATAATGTTTACGTAATTTTTATTCAGAGTTACGTGATCAATTGACGTCTCTTTTTGACTAGGCTTTCTAGATTGAACACGCGCTCTTTCTCTCTCTCTCTCTCTCTCTCTCTCTCTCTCTCTCTCTCTCTCTCTCTCTCTCTCTCCCTCCTTCTTCTTAATAGAACAAATTTAAAGAATAAATAAAATAGCAAGTAAGTAGAACTGAAAAAAAACCATTAAAAACCATAATTTTTCCTTTACTGATAAAAAAAAAACCGAAACAAATCGGAACATTTATTTGATATTTTATTAAACCGGAACCGGAACCGAATCGAAAAACCCTTTCCGGGTCCTTGATATATGTATTTCAACAACACTATTTGGAAGAAATTTGGTAGAATTTTCGCAGCTGCGAAAATCATCTTTCCTATTCTCATCCGCGATCGAAAGCATCAAGCATCTTATAAGCACAGCTTTACATAACTTGGCGCAGTACACGCGCAGATCGAACAGAAAGAGGTAATAAAGCCAGTTTCCCAGCAACGTCGTCGTTTTTCGAGATGATACGGAGGAAACCGTGCAATCTGGTCTCTTATAAAACCGGCACTGTTGAAAGAGACAAGTAGAATGCAGAAAAATAAAGAAAATCGCGATAGAATTCGGAGAGACACGCAAGGAAATGGCAATATCTCTCTCCATCAAATTCGATGATTCAAACGGTTCCTAGGTTCCCCACGGTCGGCTTTGCTCAGATTCGGCTTGGCAGAGGAACTTTGCCATGGATTTTTCTCATCTCGCCACGAACATCTAAGAAATCCCGACTATGCGAAAGATGCACTCGAAATTATTTTCCCAGCTGATCGTCCTCGCGCGCGAGCAATTCCCTTTCACCTCATTTTGACGAATTGCCTTGCTTTCTCTCTATTTCTCTATCCACGTTCCAAGGTCTCGACCAAACTATTTCTCATAGGAGAAGAGATAATCCTCGAAAGATGTATCAGTCCCAGCAACTGTGTAAAGGACTTCTCTTCCGCGTTTACGCAATCTAACAAGATGAATTCTTTCGCTACAAGGAGACACCCTGGAAAAGGAATGAGGCAAACGAACTTCTAATATCCGCTAGAAAGACGAAGCACATAATCTCCGTAGGATAAGCCCGGTTACTGGTCAGGATTTCGTTTTAGATACGTTTGCAAGCACGGATTACGTCTCGGCGCATCAGAAAGTACCGTGTTTGTGAAAGAAACTGTCGCGCGTGAATTTACACGAATCTTGAAAGAATAACGAAAGAAATGTTTGAAAAATCTCTTTAACTATACAATTAAATACTATTAAACGTATAAAATAGAAAATTTATCAAACAAAAATAAAATTAAAATTAACTTGGAAACACTGCATTTTATTTTTACGTATTAAATTTTAAAAATAAAATATTAAAAATAAAGACAAACGTTTTCTTTTCGATGAATTCTCAAGCCGCCTTGTTGTAATATATTTTTGCGTTACACAAAGACAGCGAGCAATCGCGCCCAGATCCAATACGCTTTGGAAGTGCTCTATATTATTTCTGTCAAAGGAAAAACAGACTTCGTACCGTTCGGAAGTATCGTGACCAATTGCACGATTCTCATAGTTCTTCTTTCCCTTCAATTTCAGCGTTTCATCCAAACGTTGTAAGAGCCGCCTCGAATCTAAAAGTACGTCGAATCGACCGCGGTTTGTCGCGCGCTCGGTACGGCGTCAAATTTATGGAAACCGTCCGTGCTTGTGGATTTATGAGAATCCAATGCCTTAATTGGAAAATTATAGGACAAGGTCCTGCATACCGACTGTTCAGCTGATAGCCCGTTATTCAGTATAATCTGATTTTCCTCTTTCCGACAACTGTGCCTGAATATTTTTCACTGACGACAAAGACTAGCGTCCCGCGAGCAAGCCAGAAAAACAAATAAATAGTACAAAAATTTCGTTCATGTATACAGTAAATCCGCTTGTCATTCCACTCTCTTTTTTGTGTTTAATTCTGTTAGTTTTTACTTTCGTGGCATTAAACATATTGTAGAGTAATCATTTGTTTCACAATAAAGATTACAAGCTTGTTTTCCTATTACATGAAATATCATATATACTTTTTAAATATGACATTTAAATTTTATACTAAGTATACTATATATTAAGTTTGTAATCCGCGTGTAATCATATATTTAAGATATTTATTTAAATACATATAAAATGTATTATTCCAACATCTAACTTTTTTTTTAAGTGGCGCTTTTCTTATTTAGTTAAATATATTAAATATTATATTGTTACACAATATTATATAAATATTACAAAATTTTATAATTTACCTAACAACGTGTTGGCAGTGCATAGAAAATATATCTGGTGAACCAAAATGGAGGCCACCACGGCCGAAAGACGACTCAACATCGTAGTCGATCCTCAACTCATTTCTATTCCCAAAGTTGGTACGCGGCAACACTATTGTTTATCTGCAAACATAGAAAACATATATTGATTTAATTTATCATTCTTATTCTAGCAAAAAGATTTTAATTTTATGCCTGTGCACACAAGTCCACTAAAAAAAAAGTATCCTGTGTTGCGGTGGAGACCCAACTATTCTTATCTATTTTGAATCGCTAAATAATCTACATCAATATCCAGGATAAATTTTCAATCTAGAGCGAAAAAATGGATCAAAAATAGGAAAAATGGATCATTTTTTATGTCAGATTCGTATTCAGCGACTCAAAATATATATAAGAATAGTTGGATCTCCACCCCAGCACAGGGTATCTTTTTTTTGTGGACCTGTGTAATTAACGCACGCAGCAATTTTATTTCAACTAAATATCGACGCTAATATTACGAATAGAAAAACTAAATTATGCGTCGGCACATAAAAAGAATAATCATTCAATGCATTGCAATTAAGAAGCCGCAAAATGAAATCGTCAACATTAAATACCAGCTTGCTTGAACATCAAATACCGCTATCAAATCAAATGACTCTCTTCGGATATCTCAGAGCCAACTTTCTATTTTCTCTAAAGCTTCTGCTTCACTCGAGTTACATGGTAACAATCGCACACAGAACATTTCACAATAGACATACGTAGCGTATACGCTGGAGAATTGTATCTTTTCGAATAAGCTGCAATACGAGATCTCAGACATACTACGTAAAATTGAAATTCTAGAAAACCACAGTGGTAATTTAAGTGAAATATATGTAAATTTTTAATTGCTGCTGTAAATACAAAAGACGGACAAATTTGAAAAATCAACGTGGACACTTCAAACAGAGAAAGTTTCATGAGAATCAGGACGTTGGATGAAATATTAAATTAATTTAATTCGAAAATATACGCTGTATAATAAATTAAACATTCATGCATTATTATTTAGAAATACATCACATAAATTACATTATTCACATTTCCTTATCAATTTGTATTGGTATTTTATTTAAAAAAAGGCAATCTAAAATAATCAAAGAGTATTCATAACCTGTTGTTGTGTACAATGAATATTATGACACATTGAAATACTATATATTGTGCATTTTGTTAGATATAAATATCTTATAAAAATAAATAATTATCGTATAAAAATAAACAATTGCCTTATTAACCTTATAGAACTCTATCGATTAAATGATACATTGTAATTGATATGTAAATTTTATAACCGACAAAAGGCCATTCTTAATTAAAGTAAGGACTTCACTAAAGTAAAATATTTCACACTTTTAATTATAGCAAAACATTTATGGCATTTATAACAGTGTAGATTTTTACAAACATAAAAAATAATCTAATTGTTAATCCAAAAGGAAAGAAAGAATAAAGACACTATTAAATTTGATCTTGAAATATGTCTATTATCTCTTTACAATAATAAAATATACAGGATGATCCAGATCAACGTAGAAGCCGACACTTACATATTTCTCATGAAAAAGTGAGTCGAAAATGTCATCAGCAAAATGTTATAATATCAATAGTTTTTAAACGGAAAGGTGAACCTTGGAAAATGCTCAATTACAGGGCAAAAAAATTTATATTGAAATGCGCATTTTGATACAAATAAATATTTCATATTTAGAAAATATGAAATGAACGAAATTCCGAATAACAATACAGTTTATTACTTACTTTATTTTCTTCACTGTATTACTTTCTTTTTCTCTCCTATCATAATTTCGTTCATTTCATATTTCCTAAATATGAAATATTTATTTATATCAAATGCACATTTCAAATGTAAATCTTTTTCTAATATTGTTCGTGACAGAAAAGAAGTTTTGAAAATATCTGTCGATTAATGTTTTTAATATTATTTGTTTGAACAATTTGATTAATTCATTTTATGTATAAATTTATTTGTTTATTACTTAAAACATATTTCTAAAATCCTTTTTACTGATATAAATGAACGTTGTATCGAATTTGCGCGCAATTGACATTACTTCTCATCAATTAAAACGGACTCAATTTAAGAACTGCAATCTATTGCAATAGATGTTAATATAGAAGTTTCACGAACCTTCGCAATACTCGTTCGATACCATGCCGTTTAGCGGTATCCGTAATAAAACATTTGCACGGCCAGTCGTTTAGTTGCACCGTTCCTGATGGCGCGAATTTTATGTCCTGTGGTTGGATATTTTCAAAAGCTTACCATTTAAAAACTATTAATATTACAACATTTTGCTATGGACATTTTCAATTCACTTTTTCATAAAGAATATGTACGTACCGGTTCCTATTTGATTGGATTGATCTGGATCATTCTGTACAATAACATAAAACTGTTTAAAAATTGAAATCGCAATACACTCTTTATTAATAGTGACCACTAGAAAAGCCAAGCTTATAAAACTATACATATAATGGGCTGAATTTTTTATTTCCGCTTGTCCCAGCTTTTAGCAAAACGAATTAGACTTCTTGTTTATTGATTATTGAAAGTATAACGCTCAAATGACTCCGCTCATTTATGCCCGTTTCCACAATGTAGATTAATTTTAACCTCGATTCAACTTACTTTCTCAGCTTTTTTTAATTTTTAGAACTACAAAAAGATGAAGAGTAAATAGAATCGAGATTAAAGTTAAATTATATTAATGGAAATGGGCATTAGGTACACGTTAAACTTATGATAGTGTTCTACAATTTAAATCCGATTTTTCTTTAAAAAGTCATATCGATAATACTCTCAAAAATTTACTAACAAGAACTTACCATTCGGTACAGTCTCTATAACATGATCTTTTCAAATACATCGTAATCGAGTTACGCAGAAGAAGACTCAAACTCATTCAATGAGAGAAGTAAGCCGCCATGCCTGATGGCTGTGAAGACGCGCAGATCCCGAGCACGAAGTGAATCAACCGGTCGCTCGAAGTCAAACAGAAGATTGTTACCGCGAAATTCCGCGTGATTCAATTTGGTCGGAAGTTCGGGGGTGGAAAATACGGTTGCGCAGTCTGACAGTTCCACGCGAGAGCGAGAGAGAGTCTCGGGGTTGGCTCTAACGAATCTATCGACAAGTTTGGGATTTTCGCAAGCCCCGCGGCAGCTCTTTCATCGGCTGTCACTTTCTACGTGCAATGTATCCTCTCTTTCAATTCGCCACTAGCTAAAAAAGGACAGAGAATGCCCCACGATTCCGCCATACTCGTTGAACTAAGAAAGGACAAGCAATTTTCAGTTTTCCTGAAATCCAGTAACCCGAGGACCTGTCGCTTATTCGCGAGTTTCAAATTATTTCACCATCTGGCGCAGGTGTCGACGCCGGTAACGAGTTGTGGCACCGCGCCGTCCGCGACCGCGAATAAAAGTGTTGTATCTAACTGTTCGTCGTTGTTTGAACTGCACAAACTACGAACTACGTACGCGAATCAACGATATGAAAAGCGAGTCGGAGAGACGGCTGTCGAGGGTTCGGTGGCCGGAAAAACGAAGGTAAACGCTGTCGCATCGTCAAAAAACGGGTAAGCTGTGTCAGCGAATGACCGGATAGAGAATATTTTTGGTACTTCAATTGTTTTACTAACATAAAAAGATTTATTTTCGTCACTGGTTTACCTTTCCTTCTCAGTTATTGATAAATGCTGAAAAATGGCATTTTCTCCCTACAGCGGTAACAATAATAGGCAAACGTAAACGCGCATTTGAAAAGTCGATTCGCAATCGATTCCAAATACCATGTCCGTTCAGAGTCCTTGTCCGCAAACCGGTAAACAAATCCACGCCTAGGCCGTGAGGTTTGCACAAATAGTATGGTGTGACGCGTACTTTATGGTTGTGTAGAACATGCCCTCGGTACGTTGTAACGTACTTGTTCCGCGCGCTTGTTACCGGTAACTAATGTTCTACCCGCCCATTCGATAGCGCGATTGGCAGGGGAAGACCGCTGGACCAGAAAGAGATCGAGCGATTGAGCAAATTACGACACGTAGATTGCGAGCACCAACCGGGGAGCTAGCAGCGATCTATCGCGGCATCGGTAGACGAAATGAACGAAGCACGAGGATCAAATTTTCTCGTTTTGCAATCGGCAACTGAACGAACGTGCAATCGAGACGATCGCCAGCCGATCAAACGGACTACCCGAAAAACACGTTGTAAATACCATACATCAAATCCTTTTTATCTGTATTCAGAAGTTCCTTTCTCGTGTGCTGATTTATTTTCGTATCACGTAGCCGAAATGTAAAAGTACAAAACTACTAGAATTTCGAGATAATAGCAGAGATTGCAATGATAAGCCACTTTCTAAATCGTTGTAATAAGAAAGCTCAGTAAAAAAAATTGTAATGTAAGAATATATGTATGTATAAGTATATATCATCACATATAAAATATGTTCATACAAGATGATGCACAAAATGTTGTACTATTTAATTCATACTATGTAACACAGTTACTTTTAACAACATTAGTAACTGCTAATTAGAACTGCAGTGGAATAGAATTAATTACTAAAACCTGAAAATTGGATAAATTAAATGGAACGACATTTGCTACCCTATATAGGGTGTCTGGAAAATAGCCAACAGTACTTTAGGAAGTGATTCGGGATTGGAAATCCAACGTTTCGTGAACCTTGCAGTCCATCAGGGTGAGCAGCCTGATACTGGCTGTTCCTCGCATTATGGCATTCCAAAAATGAACACGGAGGAAACCCGCGAAATGCATAATCTTTATATAATAATCATAATTTATTTCACAGTGTTTTAACATAATTTATTTCGTAGTGTAAAAAACAACATAAATAAATAACTAATATAAATAACTTTATTTTTGACTATTTCAGCATTACTCATGATGCATGTGAAAGCACAATCCGCTCAGAGCATTCCTCTTTTTAAAATTCTTTTTAATTTTTATTTTTTAGTTTTTTTTTTAATTTTTCAATATTTGTAAATACGGTTACATTATTTTTAAATTTTTATATTATTTTTGAATTTTGAATTTTTATT